TATATACCCAATATCTCTGTGTGTCACCCCAACTCTGCCTCTACCCAGCTGTATCCCGTGTAGCGGTGGGGGGTGTATGTGTGTGTCGTACCCAGCGCAGGGGTGTGTGTGTTGTGTCGGAACACACACACACAAACGAACCGGTGTTCGTCCCTATAAAAGCACAACTCCGCCCGCCGCCTCGCTTTGTTCGGAGCCCACAGCCATCCGCACACACCCGCCCACCCTCCCTCACACAAACCGCCGTCCCGACAGCCGGAAAACCGAGGAAACGGAGCAGTAACACACCTGAAGCCGGGCTGCCGTGGGCGGGCGAGTCTGCCAGCTCAGACACACGGACCTCGCCTGAGAGCGGCGGGCATCGCCGAGAAGCTGCGGTTCGCCGTGCGCGCATAAAATACGTGAGGACAAGAAAACACGGCCTTGGAAAGAAAATATATGAATTACAACTACTAGCGTTTCACAATAAAAATAATAATTATTGTTGTTGTTATTATGAAGCGGCGCCCGAAGGCGGTCACTTCGTTAAATTGAAAAAAAAAAACCTCAAGCTGTCAGTTCGCTCGAGCTTCCTCAAGGAGACCTCGAGGCGACGCCCACGCGAGGTCGAACTGCCCACTGACACGCCCCTAGACGGACTGATATCCAATAATATTATCTGACCCGCCCCTTGGCGTTGGCTGATAGACGAGTTACACTATTGATTGATTTGAATATTAACCAATAGAAAATAATTTTCGCTTAAGAGGCAGGACATTGCTCCAATCATATTGCAGATAATCCTGCGTGTTGCTGCGACTCAAAGTATTTTGATCCAGCCTCCCGGAGGTGAAGTCCACCAATCATAAAAAACTATTTTCTTGACTGAAAAGGCTTTGACAAATAGACAGCAGGAAAGCAATTGATAGACAAAAGTATTAGCCAATAGCAGGAAGTTTTTATTCTACAGCCAGGCGACAAAATAGGTTTTTTTTACAATGGCGACGCGTCTATCTTTAAATAAGGATTGATTCTGCGTCTGGCCCTAGTATTTTAGAGATACGAAGTACCCCTTTCGCATCGTCTCACTTCAAAATTCACACTACTAACAGGCATATGTCGCAGCCGTAGGAATCGTGATTTTGCAGGAATCGACACACGGACACGCTCTGTGTTGTATGCGACATTTTGGGGACAGGACGTAAGATATCAGAAAGAGATTCTTCGCTGAATAATTACGTTCTCGTATATTTCCACGTTCATCTCCTATCATGACCTGTTTTCCATGTTTCAAATTAGAACATGGTAAACCTGACTACATTAATGACAAAAATACGTATGTCGTTATAGATTTGACAAAATATAAAAATTGGAAAATATACAGTATACAGTATGTCTAAATATAATTTTGGTCTCAGTTAATGACTAATAAAGCTCACAGTAAAGTCAGTCCAGTCCAGCCCAGCCTGGAGAGTCTCAGACTGCTCTGTCAGAGTCAGTGTGGGTCTGATTATAATCTCAGTTAGTAACTAATCCAGCTCACAGTACAGTCAGTTCAGTCCAGTCTGGAGAGTCTCAGACTGCTCCATCAGTGTAAATGGAGTCCGATTATAATCACAGTTAATAACTAATCCAGCTCACAGTAAATTCAGTACAGGCTGTAGGTGTTGTGAAACACAACACAGAAATAATTCTACATAAACAGCCAGCAGAGAGTGTAATATGTTATATTTATTTAGAAATCAACAAAGCAGTACAGAGCTCGCGGAGCCAGTTCATCAGTTGTATCTGAGAAACCCAGGACTTGATGTTACAGAAAGGCTGTCTGTCTAATCATACAAATCATACAAATCATACAAAAATCATACTGTGTTAGTAACAGTGCTCACAGTGACATCAATGGGGTGACAGTTTCTCTTTCTGGTCATGGTCTGGTCTCTGGTCAGAGATTGTCGGGCATGATTTATTTGAGTGGAGTGTCCAGAAAAGTGCTATATAAGTGTAAGCAATTATTATTATTATT